TGTTGCCCAGGCTATCCTCCTGTCTCAGCCTTCCAAGTCATTGGGATTACATGTGTGCACACCATGCCCAGCCCTTTGTACTTTTTATTAGTAAAAATATTAGTGATGGTAATGGCAGTAATGACTAATTTTAATTGTAGTTATGTATCAGGCACCAACCAAAGTCCTCTAAATGGATCAACATGTTTAATGCTCAGATAAAGTCAACTGTCAGGTCCAGTTGATATTATTCGCTCCATTTTATAGAAGGAAAAACTGAGTCAAAGAAAGAGCATTGAAGGCAGAGGGAACCACACATAGAAAGGTCCTGGGGCAATACTAAGTTTGGTGTGTGACAAAGCCAGTTATATGAGAAGGTTTCATTTTGAAATGTCCTTGTAGAGGTGATCCAAAGACTTAGATGTCAGAGCTGGAGCTCAGGGGGGATGTCGACAATGGAACACAATCATGGAAGCTATCAAACTGTTGATGGTGTTTAAAGCCAGGGGCCCAGATGAAAAGTCACAGGGACTATATCATCAATAACGACTACCAGAAAACATGCCTATTCTCTGTCCAGAAGAGAAGAGGAAACTGCAAGAAGCACTTGTGCAGAGCCCTAGTTCCTATTCCATGGATGTGAAATGCCCAGGATGTTATAAAAACCACCTTAGTCTTCAGCCACGTGCAAATGGCAGTTTTGGGTGTTAGCTGTTCCACTGTCCACTGCCAACACGTGGAAGGAAAAGCGAGGCTAACAGATGCTCCTTCAGGCAAAGGCATCCTCTTGAATCAAGATGTGTTAGAAACCATCCCAATAAACACATTTGGAATTCAAAAGAAAAGGCCGGGCATGGTGGTAGGTGTCTGTTGCCACAGCACTCAGGAGGCCGACAGGCAAGGATCACTAGAACCCAGGAGATCAAGACCAGGAACATAGCAAGACCCTGTCTCAAAAGAAAAAAAAAAAGAGAGAGAGAGAGAGAGAGATCACCCAGCTAGAGAAGGCACAAAATCAAAGTGACTAATACTGTAAACATGACTGAGAGGTCAAGTAGGAGTGGTGCAGAGTTTATTTTTGCTCTGGTCCAACTGGGTTCCAGAGACAGGAGGAAACCTGACTGGGGCGGAATGGATACAGCATAGGAGGAGGGGAAATGAAAACAAAGACTCTGACAATTCTTCCTTTTTAAAAAAATTGATTCTTTTTTGGTTATACATGACAATAGAATCTACTTTGACATAGTTATAGAAGCATGGAATATATCTTGTTCTAATCCAGTCCCCAGCACCTCTCCTTCCCCTTCCTGCCCCCCACAAGATTGTGACAATTCTGAGAAGCTTTGATATGAAGCAGAGTACAGAACTACATCCCAGAAGCAGAATTCAGTGCAGAATTGAAGAATTTGAGCAGAAATAGTTATCTCATTGTAATAAGGAACAGTGCAGATGAGGTAAGGGCCATGGTGAGCCCTTTTCTCACTGATGAACAAGGCAAGGTCCTCAAGTAAGTGCGAGAGAAACAAAGGCGTGTGCAGGCTTAGGAGGAAAAGGAAAGAGTGCAATATTTGTCTCAGAGACTGAGAAAATACACATTCTCAGAAATTACTAGACAGTGTCAAATGCCCAAATGAAATCTGTGGTCCTAGACTTCAAGTGCAGTCATTCAGCACAGTTGTGTAGTTGTCTCCAGTGGTCTCAGGCTGCCTGGATTTGATTTTGGAGTACTCCAGACTTGAGGTTAACTACAGTTGGAATTTTCCTAGCTAAGTATGGTAGGAAAGAAACAAAAGACAGAAATGATTGGAGTGCTGAACCACAGAACCTCAGCTGGGTAAGGAAGACAGGAGGGTGGACAGTGAACCAAGGATAGAGTCGAAGAATGGGAGATCCCAGAGCATCAAGGAACCTGGGACCAGGTTTCACTCTAAAAGAAATTCATCAGAAAGATGGTATGTGGGCCAGGGGGCCAGAAGGCTATGGGCACATGCCTGTAATCCCAGCAGCTCGGGAGAGAGGCTGAGGCAGGAGGATCACAAGTTCAATGCCAGCCTCAGGAAAAGCAAGGCGCTAAGCAACTCAGTGAGACCCTGTATCTAAATAAAATACAAAATAGGGCTTGGAATGTGTCCCTGAGTTCAATCCCTGGTACCCCCCACCAAAAGAAGAAGAAGAAGAAGGAGAAGGAAAAGGAAAAGGAGAAAAAAAAAAGATGATATGTGATGGTCAAAAAAGAATATTTTCAATAGAAATTTCAAACATGGAGAGTAATTGATGATTATGAAGTCCAGCTTATCATTCATATATAGGGCCATGACTTTCACTAGAGTGAGTTTGTATCCCGGGAATTGTTTGGCAATGTCAGAAGACATTTTAGGTTGTCGAGACTGGAGGGGAGAGGTGTGTTTTGATGTGAAGAGCAGCTGCTACTGGCATCTAGGGGCTGGGATGCTACTAAATATCTACAATGGATAAGACTGCCCTTCAGAATAAAGAATTATCTGAACCATAATGTCAGCTGTGTCAGTTTAGAAACCCTGACCCAGGACATGGGTGGCTGAGGTGAAGCAGAGGAAAAGTATAGAGCTGAGATTAAGAATCAAGATGCCTATAATTCCAGCTGCTCAGGAGGCAAAGGCAAGGAGGATCACAAGTTCAAAGCCAGCCTCAGCAATTTAATGAGGCCGTGAGCAACTTAGCAAGCCCCAGTCTCTAAATAAAATATAAAGAAGGGCTCGGGATGTGGCTCGGTGGTTAAGCAGCCATGGGCTCAATCTCCGATACAAAAAAAGAAAGGAAGAAGAAACTAAGGTGGAAGATAGATTGTGCTCATCAGTTTTGATACTGCCAAGCATGAGGACAGGAAGAGTGGCCACAGGAATGGTGATGGTGAGGAAACAGCAAAGTGCTCAAGTTTTCATGAAAGAAGGGAGTCTGATGCCACATACTTCAGAGGAGCTGAAGATTTCAAAACAGAAAAAAAAAAAAAGTAGCATTAAGTGCCCATAGGGAGAAACTCATTATCCTAAGATTCCTGGGATGTGGGAGAAAATGATCTTGATCATCTTGATTGAATTACAGGAGTGACCCAAGACTCAGACAGATCAAGAAACTGAAGGGAGGGGCTGGGGATGTAGCTCAATGGTAGAACAGGTGCTTGGCATGCATGAGGTCTGGAGTTCTATCATAAGGAAAGCCCAGAGAAGCAGGTATAGTTATTCCATTTCTTTATTATGGCAAAATATATGTAACATTAAAGTTGTCATTTGAAACTTTTTTTTCCCTTGGTACTGGGGATTGATCCCAGGGCACTTTACCACTGAGCTACATCCCCACACCCCACAACCCGCTTTTTTTTTTTTTCTTTTGAGACAGGGTCTCATTATATTGCTGAGGGCCCTGCCAAGTTGCTGAGGCTGGCCTTGAACTTGCAGTCCTCCTGCCTAGCCTCCTGAGTTGCTGGGATTACAGACATGCGCCACTATGCCTGGCAACCATTTTTAAATTTGCAGTTCATTGGCATTAATTGTATTTACAATGTACAACTATCACCACTATCCATCTTTTTCATAACCCCAAATAAAAACTCTGTGTTAAATAATAATTTCTCATTCCCCCTCTCCTCAACCCTAGGCAACTTCCACTTCCTATCTTTATAAATTTGCCTAGACATTTCACATAAGCAGAATCATGCAGTATGTACAATATTTATTGCTTTTAATATCTTTTATTTTACTCAGCATGTTTTCAGAGTTTTTCTAGAATGTCATTTTAAGACTGAATAATATTTCATTGCATATATATTCCTCATTATTTTTAAATTCATTCATCTGTTGGTAGACCCTGGGTTATTCCGGTCTTTTGGCTATCGTGAACAGTGCTGCAGTGCATGTTGGTATACAAGTATCTGTTTTGGTTTGTTTTTATTCTTTTGTCTTATCCCCCGAATCTTTTTTTTTTTTTTTTTCAAATGATGAAACTAAGGTTTTAGAATAAGCAAAGAGGCCCAGAAAAGGAAGTAGAACAGCTGGGCCAGTTTTACCATTGCTCCACCCACCGTGCCCGAGAGGGTGGAGCCTGTGGATCACGTGCACAGATGCTTTACTGTATTGTTTATTCCTCGGCAAGTGTGTGTGCTTTCCTGATCATCCTTGTTTTTTCCTTCCTGGGAGGATGCTAGCTCAACAAGCGTTTCCAAGAAAATCCTGCCAGAAATAAGCCGAATGAACCAGTCCCTGGCAGAAAAGTGGCTAGCAGTGAAGATCGGAAGTAGTGAATATGAAGTGGCTAAAAGGTGACTGTGTCTGATTAAGTATAAACCAATTTCGTCTATTTCTAAAGTGTCGGTCATTTTGTTCTGGATACAAGAAAAAGCATTTGACTTTATCATGAGCAAATTTGCATTTGACCATGCTTCTATTCCACCACCTCTTAGTTTATGAATAGTCATTGATGTACTCTGTCACTCATCTTTTCTTCAGTATAAATAAGAGATGTATGGAGAACTGTACACTATCCCAGCCACCTCTCTAGGTAAATAAAATACAGGAATGAATCAAAAAAGCTCACCAACCCTCCAGGAAGTTGAACTGTTTTAGGATCTTCTTCATTTACTCCCTGGAGAGCTGGAGTTTGGGTCTTCAGAATGAGGGATTTTATTCAAATGTAGATGACTGGAAGAAATTAACTATAAAGGGTTTTGGCAGTATTCAGCAATAATAGGTACAAAGTACTGTACCTAGAATTTGGGAGACTTAAGAGAATAGTTTCATTAATGATTCCATGACATCTGTTATTTATTCAGACATAGGAAGACAGGAGGCTTGCTTCACAATGTGTTTTGACTTAACCCCTGTTATTAATTTTCCAGTGAAATTGGAATAATATTTTCATCTCCTGCTTGTCTGACTGCAAGCTTTTTAAAGCAAAGGTAATACTTCTATGAGACTTACCTTCACTTAAAATACTGTGAAATATTTTAAATGAAATGTGTAGAGTCAGATTAATGTGTGAATATTACTATCAATGCAGAGTTCAACATAGAGAACTCCAGAGGTTGTTAGTTATAGAATTCTTCCATTTTAGCAAGGAATCCTCTACTAGATCACTATAAGTCATAATTAACGTTGTTCACTTTTCTCCACACTGCTTTCCTTTTTAGACAATTGGAGGGAATGGTGTTTTTTCAGGATCTTTGTGTCCACCATCAGCTAAAATCTAACATAGCCTTGGTACTTAGAAACTGAGAATTCACTTCACACTTAGCACTGTGTGGGACTAATAAAGAAAATAGATCTTATTTTGTTTTTTAACTCATTGCTATGGAGAAAAATCTGATTTCTCTCTTACTTGGTTTAATACTTGGTCTGATTCCAGTAGTTTCAGCAATTCCTTTAATGCTTACTATTTTAACTTTCTAGGTCTGCCACTTCCTTGGAGGGCTCCTGGGTGGCACCTGGGTGTGTGAGGGAGGAGCTGGAGGGATAGCAGGTGTAAAGGGGTCTTAGGCTGCCCTCTGCTGCCTTGGAAGGCTGTTTCCCTGCTGATCTGCAGCTGGTATAACTCATTCTGGTTTTCTTTCACCTGGTCAGGTCCTGTCCCTTCCTTAAGGTGGTTTCAAGTTGGCTCACTGGTTCAGAAGACATGTTTGATCCCTTTCTGGAAACTAGGCAGTCCTGACTTAACCCCTGTGCTTTTCCCTTACACAACCCCAGGCAGTTCCATTGGGTTTTTGTTGTTATTGTCGTTTTGGTTTTTTTATTTTTGTTTTTTTAATATAATTTATTTGTAGATGGACACAATACCTTATTTTGTTTATCTAGGGGGTTTTTTGTGTGTTATTTATTTATTTATTTATTTATTTATTTATTTATTTATTTATTTATTTTATGTGATGCTGGGCACCAAGCCCAGTGCCTCATGCATGCTGGGCAAGCACTCTACCAGTGAGCTACATCACAGGCCAGTTCCATCCCAGCTGCATTTTAAGTAATTCAAGGGACTAGAAAGTATTGGGTCCCAACAATGTCATCAGGGAACTAGAGAAGCCCAGTATCTTTCTAGAATCCAAAAAGCATTCCTATTCCTCTGTACTTATCCTAGCCAAAGGCAGAAGAGAAATCTAGACACCGCATCTCTTCTCCCCCTGACTGTCCTAGACAAGGTGTTCTTTTTCTTCCAGCCTCAGGCTCATGCTTACTGGATGTAGAAGAATCTTTTCCTACTCTAAGAATATTGAAAAAGTTAGGCACAGTGGCAAACTTTTTTTGGTACTAGGGATTGAACTCAGGGGCACCTTACATCCCCACATCCTCACATCCCCAGCCCTCTTTATTTTTTGCGATGGGGTCTCATTACATTGCTTAGGTCTTGCTAAATTGCTGATCCTTCTTCCTCAGCCTTCCTGGTTGCTGGGATTACAAGCCTGCATCCAAGCAGGATGCTTTTGTTTTGTTAATCAGCTTTTTGTTGATTTAGTTCCTAGATCAGCCTAAGAACTGGGGTGGGGTGAGATAGATGGGCTCTTTTCCTCCCCTGTATTATCTTTCTAAAGCAGAAAAATATCTGGGCCCACACAGAGAGTGACGTAAGTGACATACTTTTAAAATGCCAAAGGCTGCAAAGAAGAAAGTATTTTTAAGCAGGAAAAATTTACAATTAGAACTTGCATGTATATTCTAGCCCATGTGTGTATTAAATATATATATTCCGCCCCCTCCCTCACCACAACAACTAGAGATTGAACCCAGAGTTGCTGTACTACTGAGCTATAGCCCCAGCCCTTTTTTATATTTATTTTGAGACAGGATCTCACTAAGTTACCCAGGCAGGCCTCAAACTTGTGATCCTACTTCAGCCTCCCAAGTAGCTGAGGTATAGGCATTTGCTACCATGCCTAGCTCCTAATATTACTGTTGATCTGTTAATCTAGAAAGCATGTTTCTTGATAATGCATCATTTTAAAAATAATATTAGACTTGTTGAATTTTGGCTCTTCAAACATCACCAAAACAACCTGTTGATAAGACACCACACCTGGACAGTCTTTCGTGTGGGAGCAGAGGACTGTGGACTTGATGAGAATTGGGAAAATATACAAAGATCCTGGATAGGTTTGCAATAGCAAGGCAAGGATTTTGAGATAAAGGAGTCAAAGAATCCTACAGCCAAACTATTTGTTGATGCTTTCCTTTGAATCGTTAATGGTCTTTCCAGATTTTTCTATGAATTGTTAATGAATTTTCCAGGAAGTTTTCTGCGATAAACAATCAAGCCATTTCCCTGTAAAGTAACTATTACTTCATCAGTGCACTACTAAGGAAAACAGTGGAATTGCAAAGTTGTGTAAATAGAAATGGCAATAATGCGGATACTGGGTAGTTCTAGTTTTCAGTATGCAAACTAAGTGTTGGGGGTAGCCAGTTTCAGATCTCATACTCAACATAAAATCTTGCTAGAGTTGGAGATGCAGTTTAGTGGTTGAGTGCTTGCCTCACGAGTGCTTGCCTCACTTAAGTACCTGTGTTCAATCCCCAGCACTGAGGGTGGGGGGGAACATCTTACTAATAGTGTAGCTCAAACTTGATGATGTAACTAATAAAGAGGTAGTAATGTGTTACTGTCTTTTAACAGAAAAATATAAAGTTTGTAAAATTGATTGTGTCAAGTAAGTTGATTAGTTTGAAAGGAGGCAAGATAAAAGTTTATATTTTATATGTCATAGGTTTGTCATAAATATATTTCTTGTCAATACAACAAATAATAACATATGACGTTTAGAAATATCCTTTTCCATCTTTTTATTTTAACATTCTATTTAAAGAGGAACTGAAGAAAGGATTTCCATTGATGTGGACTTACAAATGGCAAGAGATATCTTCAAGAAGATAACAAAAAAGGAATGGATTTCTTCCATGGTAATAACCAATACTTATTTAAGAAATAGAACAATAGGATTTCTTTACAGGAATAAATGTGATTGCAGTTTAGTTTTGTGGGGAGCTAAGTCAGAGGCTTGTTTTCATTATGAGGTTACTATTTCTAGACACTGCATAAGGTGCTACCATTTATTTTCTTATTCAATCATAAAATATACAATGGACACAGTATTTTTATTTTCTGTATGAGAAAAGCAAATGCTTGAGAGTCTCCAACATGATGCACGAGAAGAGCATTGGTTTGGGAAGCAGGGTAGCCTTGTCCTGGACTGGCGTGTTCTCTACTTTGAGATGAACCTTAAATATATTTGACATGAATCTATGCTACTGATTCATCCCTGCTTCTCTTTTATTCACATTTTCTTTATCTATAAATTTATTTCATCTTTAAGGTAAACTACTTTATGATTCTAAGTTGAATAGGGAGACAACTTTTCCTCTGTCAATTTGAGTTCTGGTGTGTGTGGGACAAGGGGCTGCAAATTATCAAAAGGCAGGTAATCAGGATGTCTTAGTACTTTGGGACAACTGCAAGAGAATACCATAGTACCATAGTCTGGGGCTGGGGGTGTGTAGCTCAGGTGTAGAGTGCTTCCCTAGCATGATGAGGGAGATGAATATATAGAATTTTCCTGGCAATGGTAGATTTTAGGTCATACAGATCTGGGTATGGAACCTTGATTTGTTACTAATTGAATGATTTTCTTCCTCTACTTTTAATTAACTGAGTCTCTCCCCCATCTGTAAAAATAAGGTTAAAAAAAAAAAATAAAAGAGAAAGCTACCCTACACAGTCTAATAACATTTACGTGAGATCACCTGACACATAGTGAGAACTTAATTAATGTTTAACAAATATAAAAATCATACATGGACTGGGGATGTGGCTCAGTTGTAGAGTGCTTGCTTGCCTGCATGCGTGAGGCCCTGAATTTGATCTCCAGCACCACACACAAACACACACACACACACAAATACAATTTATTCCCACTAATATACGTTATTATGTATGTTCTATCTTTACTGTTGTTGGTACGAGGAATGGATCCCATGGGTGTTCCATCACTAAGCCATATTCTCCGCCTTTTCTATTTGTTGAGACAAGGTTTCACTTAGTTGCCCCTGTGGGCCTCAAACTTGGGATCCTTCTGCCTCAGCCTCCTGAGTCACTAGGATTAGATGCATGTGCCATCACATCTGGCTATCTACCTTAAAAGTTAACCTCTGGGTACAATACATAATATAAAAAATCAAAGCTATTTTTGCTCTGAAATTTTTATACTGATATATGAAGGGGGCAAAGGAAGGAAGAAATGGATTTTGAGTGTGTGTGCATGTGTTGTGTAACAGCTTCACATTCCATATCGGTGTGATCTATATATACAATATTGCTTTTTTTTTTTTTTTTAAGACAGGGTCTCACTATGTTACCTAGGTTGGTCTTGAAATGGTGGGCTCAAGTGATCCTCCCAAATCAGCCTCCCAGTAGCTGCAACTACAGGCATGCCTCTATATCCAGCTTATAATATTGCTTTTGGAGGGCTCTGTATTAGTTTTGAAGTCCCAATTCACTCAGTATGACCATGTGTAGGTAGTTTCACGTTATTTCCTTCATGTTCCCTAATATAAAATGGGAGGATGACTCTCACAAGTACTGCCTCAGGGGCATTTGAAATGTAAGGAATAATGGAGTTTCATCAGTAGATTTCAGAAAGAGTAAATGGTTGTTCCAATGGAACTTGGTAGAATGAAACCCCTGGTCGCAGAGCTTATTGTCACAACACTGTATCTAATACCAGGGCCTTTTCTCTGATCCTATTTCAACCATAGATGACTACAAGTCTCCGGGATAATCTACTACAAGCTCTCCCATACCATTCTCCACACCAGGAAGCTTTATCAGTTTTTCTCCTGCTCCCAGAATGCCCTGTGATGCAAGATTCTCAGAATCAGAGCCTGGTGGTTTCATTTGCAGAGGCTGTTTGTAAAATGAGTAACCAATCTTTACAAGTCCTGAGTAAGTTTTATGTCACTTTTTGTATACACTCAATGGAGAGTCACTGTCTGAATTAGAAGTTGTAACAAATTTTGGATAGAAGATTTCAAAATATACACATATTTGAGTATATGGTATGTGAATTATTGCAAAGATTCACCTAAAGCTATTATAACCATTACTCTTATCATTAAAAGCAAATGTAGTCCTTAGACTTGGACATGGCTTTGACATCAGAGTTTGATATCTATAGTGTCTAATCAAGATAAATCCATGCATTAAACTTTTCATTCATATTGTTTTGAAACATTTGATATTTTGACCAGAGGTGATTAAAAGCTTTGATATTATTGTTTATGTTATTCAATATCATGGAATGTCTTTTTACAATTTTAAGCTGATGTTGAAGGCCTCAAGCATAAAATGTACAAAGGTTATGTATACTGAAATATAAGCCACCTAGTTCCCCTCCTAGAAGGTGATTAGTTTCTTATGTACACTTCAAAAGATATTCTATGCATATACACATATAAAAAATTCTTTATTGTTACTATTTTTTAAATAAGGACTTAGCCCCCATTATACTTTAGTTATCACTGTACTATCTCCCCAGACCTTTTACTTCTTGTTTTGAGACAGGGTCTCAATAAACTGCTCAGGCTGGTCTCCAACTTGAAGTACTCTGCCTCAGCCTTCTGAATTACCAAAATTACAGGCATGTGCCTCCACACCCTGCTCTCTTCTTTTAAGAGAAGGAAACCATTCTTCTTTGGCAACTTACTTTTTCCTACTTATCAGTACATCATAGAGATTATTCCATTATGGGGCCTATAGAATTGCTTCATTCTATGGGCTGGCTGTATTAGTCAGCTTTTCATCATAACACAATACCTGAGGCAGGCTACTTATGAAGGAAAGAGATGTATTTATATTATACTTTTGAAGGTTTAAGAATGGGATTCTGGTATCAGCTGAGCTCTAATGAGAACACTCTTGGCTGTTCACGTTATGGCAGATGGCAATTTCAGGAGCACATATTAGAACAAATGATCACATCTTGATACACAAAGTTTAGAAGGGACCAGGCCTAGGCTTTCATACCAACCCTCTTGCAAGAATTACCTGGGGTTACATGAGAACTAGCTTAACACCTGCCAAAGGTAACCCTCCCACCCCCTGACCTCTCACTAGGCCCTATCTTTAAAAAATCCAACCACCTCAACATTGCCACAATGGAACCCAAGCTTCCATCACATGGACTACTGGGGACAAATCACATCCAAACAGTAAGACTGACTGAAGAGTATTCTTCTGGCAGATGTATTATGTATGGTTTTTTTTTTACTCTTTTGCAATTATAACAGTGCTAACATGCATTTCTTTTTAAAAATGTAAACTTACACATTCAGCAAAATTTTATGGAAGTTAAATACAGGATTAAATTGTATATACATGTTTATTTTGAGAAATTTTTCAAATTTTTCAAATCAAATTTTTCAGATCCATCATGAAGAGGTCAGGGCCATGATGTCACTCACCTTTCAGTGGCCACTGTTTTCACTGTTGTTTATGTAAATTGCAGCCTTGGGATTGGTTAACAAGGCAGGCTTGACAAGATGATGTACCAATGCAAACTTCATCAACAAATAACAACCACATATTTTTCAGAGGGGTCATCAAACTTGATCTTTGCCATTCTGAAAGAAAAATCTCTTAATTTAAATCTGAATTTTTATTAAGAATGAGACTGTGCTGGTTTTCTTATAGCTCAGATCCATTTGTGTGTCATATACTGTGAACTAATGGTTATTCCCTCTTAGCCCCTTTTTTCTTAATTGCTTTTTAATATTTTTCTTTTACCATAGAAGCCTTTCAGGTATTAAGGGCAATTAATTCTTTATTAACAAAATTAATTGAAAGGATTTTTTCCCCTTAAGGTATTTTTTTTCTTTTACTTTGTGGTATTTTTGCTATGTAAATTATTTTTTAATTTTCATGTAGCCTGCTACAGTAACATTTTCTTTTTATAATTTCTGGGCTTGAGGATTTTCTAGCTTTGCAAAAATCCTACCTCAGTCTAAAATTTTTAAAAATTTTCATGCTCCTACTATAATTTTTATTTTTTTGGTAGTAGAGATTGAACCCAGGGGCACTTAACCACTGAGCCACCTCCCTGTACCTTTTTAAAATTTTTTATTTTGAGACAGGGTCACCTTCTTTAACTAAGGGCCTCATTCATTTGCTAAGGCTGAATTTGAATTTGTGATCCTCCTGCCTCAGCCTCCCGAGTTGCTAGGATTACAGGCATCACTACCATGCCTGGCTTATTTCTTTAAATATATTTTTATCTTAATACTTGTACAAATTTATAAGATACAGTATGATATTTCTTTTTTTATTTTTATTTCTGGTAGTGGGGATTGAACCTAGGGGTACTTTACCACTGAGCTACATCCACAGTCCTTTTTATTTTTTCATTTTGAGGCAGGATCTCACTAAGTTGCTGAGGCTATCCTCAAACTTGTGATGTTCCTGCCTCAGCCTCCTGAGTTGCTCAGATTGTAGGCCTGTGCATCTGTGCCCAACACAGTTGCCATACCAGTGTAGTTAAACAATGTGTAATAAATGATCAAATCAGAGTAACTGATCACCCCAGACAGTTATCCCTTCTTTGTGTTAGGATCATTCCGTTTCTCTCTACTAGCTATTTTGAAACATTTTAAATTAATCTTTGTCAACTGTAGTTATCCTCTTGTGCTCTACAACATTGGAAGTTATTCCTCCTATCCAGCTGTACCTCTGTACCAGATAACCATCCTTTCTCCATCACCCCTCCCACACACACCTCCTGGGCTCTGGTAACCACTGTTCTATTCATTATTTCTATGAGATCAACTTTTTAGTTTCCACATGTAAGTGGCAATGGTGTGTTTGTCTTTCTGTGCCTGATTTATTGCTTAATGTCCTCCAGCTCTATCCATGTTGCTGCAAATGGCAGAATTTCATTCTTTCCTAACTATAATTTTTATTATTTAATTTTTAATGTTTAATTAATTTTTAATGTTTAAATTTTTGATTGTTATATAGTTTATCTTGGTTCATTTTTTTTCCTAGATCAGTTTTCAATTGTCCCTATGCATTTATTAAATGATCTGTTTCATTCTCACTAATATGCAGTGCCACTTTTATCATAAACTAAAATCTTCTATGTATTTGAGTCCTCTTTTGGAATTTCTACTCTGATGTATTGATCTGCTATACATGCATCTGTGTAATACTGTTTTAATTACATAAGCTTGGTAATTTATTTAACTATTTGAGAATTTTCTGAGAATTGTCCTTGAAAGGTACCAAAATCCAGGTTTCACTCTCAGTAATATTAAGACATAGTTATTGGCTATCTTAAAAATCTCCATATGTGGTTCATAAAATCTAAAAACATAGATAATACTATTTGATTTTTTAATAGATTAAAAATGACCTTGAAGGCTGGGGATATGGCTCAGTGGTAGAGTATGTGCTTAATATATGCAAGGTCCTGGGTTCAATCCCCAGCACCACCCCACAAAAAATTGATATAAAAATGACCTTTGATAAACACTTGTGTTTATTCACTTATGTACCTTTTTCGATTTCAAGAATGACACTTTGAAAATCATGTAGTCAATGTAAATATGAACCACCAACAAATTTCTTCAAATCCTGAGTTTGAATTTCTAATTCTAATGATACTTAATCAGAAGATCTTTTTCCCTCACATTTGTAGATAATATCCTTAGAAAAGATATTTTATGGGTTATGCCCTTGGTAATAGAAAATATTATCTATTAAAGAAACCTGGTAGAAACTGAGGGATTTGGGAATTGAGAGGAAGACCATATTTTTCATGGTCGATTTTTACACCCCTCAGGAAAGTGTTGGGCATTGTCAGAAGCATCTTCTCTGAACACACTGGTCCAGATGCTTAAAACACCTATTGCCTCTCAACTTCGTTTTCCCAGGCTATTGATGATAGTGGAGCAGAATCATTTAAATTTTAAAGCTCTTCTGGGAACAATGAAAGAAGTACATAAGGTAAGGGTCATCTAAAGGAATGTATATACCAATAACAACCCCTTGGGTATATAAGAAGCTTTTGGAACTGGTTTGCCAGAAGAGTGAGGGAAAGTTTGGAGATGTAGACTAGCAGAGCCCTAGAATGTTGTAAATGGAACTTAACAGACAATTCTGCTGTTAGCCAAAAAGACCAGAACACTGATAGGAATGTAGATATTAAAGACTGTGCTCATGAATCTCATAATACAGTCTATTTCTAAGAGTCTCCATGGTCTTTAACAGTTCCAGTATTGCTCAAAAGTCTAAATCCAAAAGATTCTTCTGAGAATCAAGGCAAATTCTTAGCTGTGAAATCTTGCAAAAATGAAAAAACAAGTTACATAATCTGTGTCATTCTCTATTGGTACTTATTTCCTATGTTAGATAGCTTTTGGTAACTGTGACAAAAATACCTGAGCGGGAGAAAAAACATAAAGGAGGAAAGATTTATTTTGGCTCGAAGTTTCAGAAGATTCAAGACATGATTGGCTGGCTCCATGGCTCTGGGCCTGTGGCGAGGTGGAACATCATGATGGAAGGGTAGAACAAAACTGCTCACCTCATGGCTGCCAGAAAGTAGAAAGGTTGGGGAAGAAAGGGCCAGGGACAAGATATACCCTTCCATGGCATGCCTACAATGACCTACTTCCTCCAACTAGACCCCATGTCCTACAGTTTCCATCACCTCCCAATACTCTATTCAATTATGAACCTATTGGTAGGACTAATCCATTGATGAGATCAAAGTCCTTATGACCTAATCACTTCCCAAAAGCCTCACCTCTAGACATTGCTGCATTGGGAACCAAGCCTTCAACACATGAGTCTTTCAGGGACATTTCATATCAAAACTATAATGGTGTACCAAATTAATATTCATTACTTAGTCAAGAAAATGCTAAATTTGCCAAATTCATGGTACTTTTGTTCTAAAAACAACTTCTAGTAAACCTAAACCCAAAACCTAAATTAAATCTAAATTAGTTTTATCAATCCCACTAACAACATGTTATGTATATTTTCTCATTTTTTATTTATATATACTTTCTATTTTTTATTGGTGTATTTTACACTTACATAATGATGGGGTTCATTGTTACATATTTGTACATGTACACAATATGACAATATAATTTAACCAATATCATTCCCCAGTATTTCCCCTTTTTCTCTCTCTTTCCCCACCTCTGGCCCCGGACTTATTCTGCTGGGTTACCCTCAATTTTCATAAGATCCCCCCTCACCTTTCTTTTCCTTTTTCCTCTCTAGCTTCTACATATGAGAAAAAACATACAACTCTTGGCTTTCCAAGTTTGGCTTATTTTGCTTAATATAATGCTCTCAAGTTCCATCCATTTTCCTGCAAATGACATAATTTCATTCTTCTTTGTAGCCGAATACAACTCAAGTGTGTACATACACCATATTTTCTTTGTCCACTCATCCATTGACAGGCACCTAGGCTGGTTCCATAGTTTGGCTATTGTGAATTGTGTTGCTATCAACGTGGTATGCATGTTTTACTGTAGTAAGATGACTTTAATTCTCCATGAAGGGTAAATAGTGAGGAGACATACAGCTGGGTCATATGGTGGTTACACTCCTAGTCTTTTGAGGAACTTCCATATTGATTTCCTTAGCGGTTGTACTAATTTACAATCCCATCAATAGTGTAGAAGTGTTCCTTTTGCTTCATGTCTCCTTCAGCATTTATTATTGTTGTATTCTTGATGGCTGCCATTCTGACTGGAGTGAGATGAAATCTCAGTGTAGTTTTGACTTTTGTTTCCCTAATTACTAATACAATGTGTTATATTTTTGACAATACTTCTTCATGAAAATTGGAGAACTTATAGGTCAGAAAATGGAATTTTAAAGAACTTTACTTCATTGTTTACAAATGTATTCAGTATACATACATATCTGTATATCATAGAGTAATTTATTAATAGAAAATGAAATTGCAGGTCACATGCAGTGAGAAAAACAAATCTAACTGTCAGCTACCAGAAGATACTTTCCACATAAACGAGCTCTCTGATCTGTTGGACTTTCGCGAAGAGAGACGAAAATTGTTTGCTGAATGTAATAGCCTGGTAAGCATAACATGTTCATTTATGAATATGTTCATACTTTAAAGGAGGACATCTTAGTAAGCTATGTAATATTGTTTTTATGAGTCAAGCTTTTAAAATTTCCTCAATACAAGGCTGAATTTACTAAATTAGATAATCATTAAAAAACTTACACATCTTTCACTCACAAATGTAATTTCTTAGAAATGTTTTTTGGAGCTGAATATGGTGGTGCATGCCTGTAATCCCAGTGGCTTGGGAAGCTGAGTCAGGAGGATCACTAGTTCAAAGCCAGTCTCAGCAATGTCGAGGCACTAGGCAACTCAGTGAGACCCTGTCTCTAAATAAAATATAAAATAGGTCTGGGGAAATGGCTCAGTGGTTGAGTGCCCCTGAGTTCAATCCCTGGAACTAAAAAAAAAAAAAAAAAAAGTGTTTTGGGGTAATTTGGGTTCTTAAGAACAGGTTCTAAAAGCATAGTGGGAAATAAGGTAATAAAGTGAAACAATGGATTGTTTTCTTTTAATTATTAAAACTCTTATGCCTTTGTTTTTAGGTTCCTGCAGACACCCCCAGTCCTATTCCTTTCAGTGATTTTCCATTTATCTTTAATTTGCCATGCAAAATTAAATTATTGAAAGCTGATGCAGAAATTAAAAGGATGGTATGTATGTTATATTAGGCTGTTTTTTTGGTCGTTGTTGTTGTTGTTGTTGTTGTTGTTGCTCTAACAAAATAACAGGGTCTATTTTATAAAGAAAATAAGCTTATTTACTCATAGTTCTGAAGATCTAATAGCATAAAACTGGCTTCCTGGTAAGGTTGAGCCTCTCTGGGCACACACAGACACACTCACACACACTCACACACACTCACACACACATACCTGCAGCATTACAACATGATAAAGCAGCAGAAAAGAAACTGGCCATGTACTGAAAAGGCCAGTTATGTCCGGTGGCCTGTCTTTATATAACAATCTGCTCTCATAAGAACTAACTCCTTCTGTGAGACCAGCATTAATTCCTTCTGAAGGGGTTGTCCCTGTGACAAAAATTATCTTCTACTAGGGCCGCTCTCTTAAAGATTCTACCAATCCCCCAAATCAACACACTTGAAGACCACGTGAATCTTTCGGGCACAAACAAATCACATCCAAAGCATAGCATATGGCCTACTTTTTTGTTTTGTAAAATTTCACACACATTAAATAGAGATAATGACGTAAGGAACCCCATCACCAAGATGCAGCAATTATCTACATTTTGCCAATTTTTCTTCTTTCGGTCACTTTTGTTGTTTTTGTGTTTGTTACTATTTTTTGTTTGTTTTTGGTTTTTTGATGAAATATTTTGAAGCAAATTCCAATTTCTTCTCACCTTACCATTCTTTGCTCCACTATTTCTGGTTGACTCTCTCGTTTATACTAAGGTTCATCAGTGGGTCACTTGGTTACCACATGATTCTTTCATTTTAATGTTCCCCATCACTCTTTTGAACTTTTATACATATAGAAAATTATTTTATTTAACAATTTCATCCATTATTTTTAAATATGGCATATTTCTAATCTTATTAATTCTACCAAAGTCATTAACTGGAATTCTATAAGGAATTTTTTCTCATCAATAAGGGCTATTTGGTTACCCTTAAATTGTTAAAAAAAAAAATTCACCAGGTAAGGTGCTGTTTAGTCATTTTCTTTTAACTGTTAAGTGTTGTCAGATTCTGAAGTTATACCAACTGATGTTCCTGCAGCAGCATATGAAATGCCACTTTCGTGTGTTGCCATCAGTGCTTTGAGATCTTTCTCAGTGTTAAATCACATTTCAGTTTAATTTTAGTGTGCATTTCTCATTATTTAATTCCCTAGTCCTCACTTTTTTAGATAAGATCTGTTGTTTTTCTATTGTGAGAAATACTGAAACTGTCTAGTAAGCTCCTCTTTTCCTCTCCAGGATCTCTCTTCCTTTGTCCAATTTAGTTACTAATGTATTCTTAGTGTCAGTTTTTGAATTGTTATACCCTTTTAGCTTCTTGGAGCTGGATTTATAAACCCCATCTGATATTCCTTTATTCCCACATAGTAAGTTCAGTCTGTTTTCCCTTCACTCTCGCCCTCTGCTCCTTTCTTGTAGTTGAGTCATTTCCGGGTAACATTTACCTAGTATTTTGTTTCTTTATGGCCACTGGGTTTAGTTCTGTTTCAAATACGTAACACTCACACCCAGACATTATGCTAAAGATTTTCCTAACATTTTTTGATTGCTGAAGTTCATTTTCTAAGTCATCCCTTAGGAGAGGTTCATATCCATTTATCTATGATGTTTAAACTTTTAAAGACTCACAGGAATCCAAAGCCCTGCCTATTACTGACTTCTATTAATAATTCAAAGGAGGGTCTGGAGTTGTGGCTCAGGGGTAGAGTACTTACCTAGTATGTGTGAGGCCCTGGGTTTGATCCTCAGCACCACATATGAATAAACAAATAAAGTGAAAAATCCATTGGCAACTAAAAAATATTTTTAAAAAATAATTCAAAGGAGCTGGGTGCAATTGCACGTCTATAATCCCAATGCCTTGGGAAGCTAAGGCAGGAGAATCACAAGATCAAAGCCAGTGTCAGCAACTTAGCAAGGCCCTAAGCAACTTAGGGAGACCCTAACTCAAAATAAAATATACAAAGGGTTGGGGATGTACTCAGCAGTTAAGCACCTCTGGGTTCAACCCCTAGGACCAAATAATAATAACAATTGAAAGGATACGAACCATCTGGGTGAAACAGAGAAATGTGGGATACCATGTCACAAAAGGAGTCATTTTAGTTATAAAGCATTTCCTTTTTATAATATATCAATTACACACTAGCTTACATGACTTTCCAATATGCCATGCCATGCCCCATTAGTTGCTAAATTCCAGATCTATTTACAGTAAGCAACCTAGACAGATAAATCCTGCTAATATCTTTCTGTAAATAAGGACACTCTCTCTCGTTACTGTTATTAGTATCTGTCATCATCATTTTTATATGTAAGTTTGACTACATCATTTCTGTTTTTATTTTTTTTAAATTTTTTTAGTTGTAGATGGACACAATATATATACATACATACATATATATATATATTGATGAACCTTTATTTTATTCATTTATTTATATGCAATGCTGAGAATCAAACCCTGTGCTTCATACATGCTAGGCATGCGCTCTACCACTGAGCCACAACAACCCCAGCCCCCTTTTTTTTCCCTTTATTTTTATGTGGTGCTGAGGATTGAATCCAGTGTCTCATACGTGCTAGGCAAGCACTTTACCACTGAGCCACAACTCCAGCCCTGTTTTTATTTTCCTAACATCCATGGTAAAGGGAAAGGATAGATTAGGTCTTTCCTTCTCAAACCCCAACTTTTGTGCAAGTCCTTCCCATCTGTAGTATTTTCTCTCACAGCTGTGATCCTCTCTGTCTAATTTGTCTACTCTGTTAGTGAATAGTTGAAGGGACACTGCATATGATGAAGAATTAGGAAAGAAAGCTGCATGTCATAGTTCTCATAGGTGAAATTGGAGAGTTACTCTTCATAATCCAGTTCTCCAAAGAAGAAATAATGTACAGAGTCAAACCTGCAAGCTCCAATCTGGATTACCATCAAGTATGTAAACATAGAAAGGGAAAATCAATATATAAAGAACAGAATAGAGAAGCTGGAAAATAGGATGCAAGTTTCCAATCTAGCTCTTCAATAGGTAAGAGAAGGTACAGGTCACTGCTATAGTAAGTGGAGGATGTCACTGGCCACTGTCACTTAGAGCCATAGAACATGCTGCTCAGCACTGAGTATTGCGGAAGCACTCAGAGCTGCAGGTGCATGGACATAGGAGGTGACTGACCACTAGAAAGGACCAGAGCTCGGACTATTTCCCATCAAACCTGGAGCTTCTTTTCATAAAACATCTCAAGGAAAAAAACAGAATTTAGTGGAATCATATATAGATTTCTCAGTTTAAAGTGGTGGCAGAGATCAGGGACAGGGCTTTCTCACGTCCAGAGCCCCATGTACCTTCTCTAAGGTGTTCATAGGAGTTGAGTGAGCAAACAGAGCTATCCTAGAGACCTGGAGTAGGATAGCTATTATCCAGTGGACTTACTGTCATCATTTAGGACAGGTACCCCCATGTTGGTTTGAGTACTAAATATTCCTTTAGAACATTTAGAAGCCCTAGAATGTTGTTGGAGGTCAAAACAAGGATAACAAATCCATCACTAAATTTCTTTTTGGCTGGGAAAAGGGTGGTACCAGGGATTTAACCCAGAAGCACTTAACCACTTAGCTTCATCCCCAGCCAGTTTCATATTTTATCCTGAGATAGGGCCTCACTAAGTTGCTTAGGGCTTCTCTAAGTTGCTGAGGCTGACTTTGAACTTGCAATCCTCCTGCCTCAGCCTACTGAGCTGCTAGGATTACAAGCATGTACCACCACATCCAGATAGATCACTGTTATTTGAAGAAGAGTGGATATACTCTTAGCAAGTCTTTCCACTCATCCTTTTCCCCATAGCTAACGTTATCCCTGAGCTCCTAAATTATCCTTATGTTCCTGAGATTTATAGTGCTAACACTGTGTTTCTTAAGACTGATGACAGATGAATGTCTTAGAATGTTAAATATCAGTATTGCCTTTAAGGGTCCTGTTTACTGCAATAAGTGATCTGAGATGCTCTTAATTACTTAGAGATTCATCTGTGGGGACACTTTCTTGTACATGATTCTTAGATGACATCATTTTTTCTGATCCCATGATCACTTTATCTTCCATAATGTAGATACAGTATCCTTTTTCTTAAGTGATGACTGTGTGAGTTCATACAGCAATGGCAGGCAAGACTAAGTGCCTGCTGCAAAAAATATGTTTTGTGAGAAGGTATTAGACCTCCCTGGGACTCCTGGAGATCAAAAGAAAAAGCCAACTAAAATGTTTTTCCCCCACTAGGAGTCTTGGATGCAAACAATTCCGCCCGGAAAGAATGGCTTGTTTACACTTAGAGTAAGACGAACTCACCTGGTTGAAGATGCCCTGCGTCAGTTATGTCAAGCTGAAGTCCCTGATCTTCGGAAATTATTCGTGGTATAGTAAAAAATCTCATTGAATGTTTTTACTGCTGTGGAAAGGAACATTCATATGCTGTAACAAGAGCCCTTTTACAAGTCTGCATTGACAACTATGGTTATCAGTATTATGGTTTCAGAATCCTCTTACTCTTTGAAGAATGGCAATGGGACATTTAATTGTGCACTGGGTGTGAGTTAACTCTTGTGTTACTAAAATGGCTATATAATGGTGCATCCCAATGCTTAATGGCTTCAGATAACAATAATTTATTTCTGCCAATGGCTGATTTAGGCTGAACTCATCTGGGTGGCTTTGCAGATTTTAGTTGTTAGTGGCTTATCTGTTTGTGTGTGTGTGTTTTCTATAATGCTAAGGATTGAACCTAGGGCCTCATGTATGCTAGGCAAGTGCTCTATGCTGAGCTAATCCACAGCCCTGCTGATTTTGTCTATTTGTTTATATGCTAGGCCTGCGTGAGGCAGCTTGGCTCTGCTTAGAATGTCCTTTCTTTACATAAGAGCTCCCAGGCAAAGAGGGAAGAACTGAACAAAGAATGAAGCTTAATGATGTTTACATTAAGAAGATATAGGCCGGGCATGGTGCCTCATGGGAGGCTGAGACAGGAGGATTACTAGTTCAAAGCCAGCTTCAGCAATGGTCAGGTGCTAAGAAACTCAGTAAGACCCTCCCTGTCTCTAAATAAAATACAAAATAGGACTGGGGATGTGAGTCAGTGGTTGAGTGCCCCTGAGTTCAATTCCTGTTACCAAAAAAAAAAAAAAAATAGAAAGAAAAAAAGATACAGGCTGGGCATTGTAGCACACACCTATAATCTCAATGATTCAGACAACTGAGACAGGAGGATCACAAGTTAGAGGCCAGCCTCAGCAATTTAGTGAGGTCCTAAACAACTGAGCAAAACCCTGTCTCAAAATCAAAAATAAAAGGGGTTGGGATGTGGCTCAATGGTAAAGCGCTTCTGGGTTCAGTCCCCAATACCAAGAAAGAAAGAAAGAAAACTAGTTAACAATAATTGCTGGTGAAGTTGTCAGGAGAAAAGTATACTTAATATGTTGTTGGTAGGACTAAAAATTAGTGTAAGTACTTTGGAAAGCAGTATGGAAATTCCTCAAAAGACTAGGAATGGAATCACCATATGACCCAAGTGTCCCACTCTGGTATTTATTCAAAAAATTTAAAATCAGCATATCATAGTGATACATGCATACCAATACTTATAGTAGCACAATCCACAATAGCCAAGTTAGGTACAAGCCTAGGTGTCCGTCAACACAAAAATGGATAAAGAAAATATGGTATATATACTCAATGAAGTTTTACTCAGCCATAAAGAAGAATGAAATTATGTCATTTGGAGGTACATGGATTGAAGGAATTGGAGAACATCATGCTAGGAAAGTTAGTGGACTAATGTCTTCTCTCCTATGTGGGGGGAAAAAAAGGAATAAAAGAATGGGGAGATCTCACAAAGGAAGACCAATAGAGTAGAGAAAGGGGATCAAGAGAGGGAAGAGGGAAGCTTTTGAGGAAGTATTGGGGAATAAAAACTACCAAATTATACTATGTCCATGTACAAATATACCACAATGAATCCCAGATAGATAGATAGATATAATTATAACAGTAATTAAAATAACAATAATAATATAAGGAAGATTGGTAGAATAGAGCAAATAGATCGAGGGTGGGAGGGACAAGGAAGGTAATGGGAATGATCAAATTATGTGCATGTATGAATAGGGCATAATGAATCCCAGTATTATGCATAATTATAATGCACCAACAACAACAAAAAAATATTTGAGCTGGGGGTTTAGCTCAGTGGTAGAAAGCTTGCCTAGCATGTAAAGTCCTGTGTTCAATCCCCAGCCACACAACGAGAGAGAGAGAAAAGGAAATTAGCCAGAAAAGAAGTAGAAAAGGAATAGTTTAGGGGGGAAACCACATGAGGACTCAGCCACAAAACCCAAATCCAAAAGTAGAGACAGTTTTTTTTAAAAAGGGGACTATAAATATTGATTCCTCACATGAAGTTCTGTGGTCAACAGGGTCTCACTGTCCCTGTAAAGGTCTCGTGCCCAGACAGACCGGAAGGGCTGTTTAGTGGAAGCTCTGATGAAGATAGAGGAGAAACTGAATGGCTGTCAACCTCAGCCAAGGTTGTGAAAGCTAAGGGATAGATGAAGACAGATAAGAAGAAAGAATAATTGGGGAAGTTAATGGCCCAGAGGTTTGAAGCAAATCAAAATTTTGGTTCAAGGTACCAGATAATTTGGTTCAAGGCTCTAGATAATAATTGGGAAACATTACGCCTTGCTGGAGTCCCCTTCTCTTGGTGCGCGTGGCAGTCTAAAGGATCCATGCACTCACTACAGCCACCTGGAAATAGATGGCTTGTGGCCTCCCTCAGCAGCCAACTGAGGGAAATTAGACTGTGAGGAAGGAGGTAAGGACTGTGTGACTGTGGTAACTCCAGTGACTGTAGCAATAGTCATCAGCAATTGAACACTTTTCCGTAAAGGTCAAGCATTGTATCTTAAACCAGCGCCTGGGAATTTCTTCTTTTTTCCTTAGGTTGAGTTTATTGAAGAAATTCGTCCTGAGAATGGAGGGGTCAGTTCAGAGTTCTTCCACTGTATGTTTGAAGAGATGACCAAGCCAAACTATGGCATGTTCATGTATCCTGAAAAGAATTCCTACATGTGGTTTCCTGTCAACGTAAGTGATTTCTTTTCTCACAGTTTTCAAAACAGAAAAAGTATGCCATATACTGCAATATGAAACTATAGAAAATAATGTAAAATGAGCTCATGAAGAGTTGCAACTCCTGAATTAAGTAGTACTCATATGGTGCACAGAGCAGCAGCTATAGCTCACCTGAGAGTGT